TATTTCCAAATTAATTTTTGTATGAAAGAGGAATCCTTTTTCTTCATAGCGGTGTCTTTGCCATGAATTAGCGTTGATAAGTTCGAGAGTTAAAAGCAATTGAAGGAAATTAGTCAAGATCGACGTTTTTTAAGCTGGCTCACGAAAAATTCTGGAAGTATTTTTATTTGATAGAGAAAATTTTGCACATTACAATGGTGCCTTTTTCATGGGTTAAAACGAAGTAAATCGAGAGTTAGAAGCAAATAAAGAGAATTTCTTCATTTTTACAATTTTTGCGCATGCTCAAAAAAGCATGAAAACGCCACAGAAAAGACGGAAAAGTTATAAACATAGGTTTTGTGACCTTATCTTTCTAGCTGAGTGAAAATCATATCAGTCGAGAGCGATTTTGATTTTCGTGAAAAACGCAGGCCCGAAAACCCGAAAAAATCGCGAAAAACAAAATTGCTCCCGATTGGCGCGATTTTCACTCGGCTCGAAAGGGAAGGTCACAAAACCCATGTTTATGACTTTTTTGTTCTTTCTGTGACGTTTTCAAGTTTTTTTGAGCATGCGCAAAAGTTGTAAAAGTGAAGAAATTCTCTTTATTTGCTTCTAACTCTCGATCTACTTTGTTTTAACCCATGAAAAAGGCACTGTAATGTGCAAAACGCGCCCCCCCCCCCCGAGAATGGGTCGCGAAATTTTTGAAAGTTACTTATATGGGTTATAAAAATGTGCAAGTGACTTGTTTATTTTTGTAAATAATTAAAATAATTATTAAAAATTTTTAAAAATTCAAATTAGCCTTGTAAAAAAAATTTTTTCGGGGGCGTGGCTGACGCCACGCCCCCTTTTTCCAGATTTTAGGGGTCGGGGACCCGCAAAAATTTTGAGAAGCACCCCCAAAATTTTTTCGGAGTGCGTGGCTAACGCCACGCACCTTCTTTAGAAAAAAATTCTTGTCGCGCCCCCCCCCCCCCGAGCCGAAATCCTGGGTACGCCACTGACATATATATATACATATATATATATATATATATATATATATATATATATATATATATATACAGGGTGTCCCAAAAAAATGTATCGAACGTTTGATCGTTAATATCTCTCTTCCCAAGAAGTCTTTTGCCTTGCTTCAGGCAACGTTTTGTAGAGCTGGCTTCAACTTAGATCAATATCATAGAACAAATAACCCATCTCTCTTCATTACTGTAGGATTACGGTAGAAACTTGAAACATATGGTGTCAATGTGGAAAAAGCTGCCGTTTCAAAACTTTTTTAAAAAATTGTGAAAACTTGTGTAATAGGGTTTTTATGGACGCTGAGTTCAATACTCAACTATTTATAAGATTACGAAGTTTTCTAAACGGTGTAATCGCACTTTTTAGGAACATTGAAAAAATGGCCGTTACCTCTTACCTGGCATAACTCTTCAATGAAGCATCATAATAAGTTGGGAGCTTTACAGTTATAATCAGCAACTTTAATTAGCCTAGTGTAAAAGCTTTCAGGCTATTTTTTTTTCTGAGGCAAAATATGGCCTTTCATTGCTTAAAACCCTCTCTGGAGTTTCTACCGTAATCCTACAGTAATGAAAAGAAATGAGGGATTCGTTCTATAATGCAAATCCAAGTTGAAGCCAGTCTACAGATTGGTACCTGAAGCAAGAGGAAAGACTTCTTTAAAAGACAGATATTAACAATCAAACGTTCGATACATTTTTTGGGACACCCTGTATATTAGGTTGTACCGAAAGTTTTGTCGTTTCATTTCTGAAAAATCATAACTTTGCGCTGTCACAACGGATTTACTTCCTTACATTTTTATTAGAAAGAATAAATCCTTCGCTTTCGAGTGCTGTTTTACGTAGCTGCGCTTCACACTGGGTGCGGAGAGAAAAATGGAAAACTAAGACCATATAAGCTCTGACCATTTTAAGTTAGGTCACCAAAAATCTGGAATGCTGCAGAAAAATCTGAAATCGTCAGTACATATGTTTGTTGACCTACCCTTTGCATCTGTGAAAAAACTGTGCTGTTTGGACGTCTCCGTGAGAAGTTATGATTTTCGCGAAAATTGACAAATTAATTAATTTTGGCCTTTCCCATAATAAACTCGATATTCATAACTTCTCACAGAGACGTCCAAACAGCACAATTTTTTTTAACAGATGCAAAGGGTAGGTCAAAAAACATATATACTGACGATTTCAGATTTTTCTGCAGCATTCCAGATTTTTGGTGACCTAACTTAAAATGGTCAAAGTTTACATGGTCTTAGTTTTCCATTTTTATCTCCGCACCCAATGTGAAACAGAAACTCCGCAAAACAGGGTTTGAAAGAAAAAGACTTATTTTATCTAATAAAATTACAGGCAAGCGAATCCGTTGAAACACCGCAAAGTTACAGATTTTCAAAAATGAAACAAAAATGAAAAAAAAACTATTAAGTCATAGAATGATATCATAACTTATAATAACGGGCTAAGGATGTTTACGTGAGTTTGTGTGTCTGTGTGTGCGTATGTGTGTGTGAGTGTGTCTGTTACGAAATTCGTAGGGCGTGTTCCAGCCAACGTCCTGGGCTCAAATTTTGCACAGCGCTTGCTACCCGCATGAAAGGCCAACACGCAAAAGCACGAGCAGATTCGTTGAGCGGATCCCTCAGAAACTGCGCGCCAAACGGATCCACTTTGCATTTGAGCCGCAAAATTGGGTCCGTAATTCCACTTTTTGCAGAGTCATGGATGTTTATGCCATGTAAATGTGCAAGCCATGAACTTAGGCCCAAAAAAGTGATAAAAAATCCATTACTTTACAAAACCGGAGCCAAAAAGTATTGGTTGCGTAAATGGTCATTTTGCCAAGCTTTTACTAAAACATTTGACGAGATTTTTGCACAAAGATGCAGCTCACGGTGTCTGTTCTTATTGCAACTGTCAAAATCATGGGAAAATCATAAACTCATAAAAATTTGCGTTTGTTCTCCTGCAAAAACTCTCACCCACGCGAAATCACCGTTTCACATAGAAAAGCTTTTGGAATGAGTAGTTGTTTACATTTTGTCCGTGATAGTCGGCAATGCTCGGTGAGTTCCAATGCCATCATTATGCGAAAATGTAGGACCTAGATAGTAGAGCGGACCAGTGCGAGCCTTTGCGAAGCAGAGGTGACGCACTGGTATAAATTAGGTTGATGCAAAAATAATGAGCGTTTTTATTTGCTTGCTTTAACAAAGCAACCAGACTCAACCCAACAAAGAGTAAGGGGTACTGTTCGATAGAGCAAAGCAAGCTCTACAAGATGGCACTCATGCCTTTGCGCCATGCTCGATCCACGGAGAGTTCGAACTCAATCTAAAGATTTCCAAATGCCCAAAAAATCGAAAAAAATCAGATCTTCGTCCAAATAATTTCTACGGACCTCCCACTCGCTCACATCAATACTATCGATATCTGATATCCATATGTGCGATTGCCGTATTTTTTCCTTGACTAGAAACTGAGAAAACGAAAATTTCCCTGATTTTCTCAAAGCAATGCTGAGCCGTTTTTGCATATGTAGTTCTATACTACAAGCCTAGTTAAGCATAACTGTAGATTTTCAGCCCATTCCAAGCGGTAGTTTTCGAAAAATAACGGATTCGGATTTTTTCGTTTCAGTTTCAGTGCTAAAATCGACATTTCTCGAAAAATACCGCTCGAAATAGGCTGAAAACTTACAGTTATGCTTATCTAGGCTTGTAGTATAGAACTACATATGCAAAAACGGCTCAGCATTGCTTTGAGAAAATCAGGGAAATTTTCATTTTCTCAGTTTCTAGTCAAGGAAAAAATACGGCAATCGCACATATGGATATCAGATATCGATAGTATTGATGTGAGCGAGTGGGAGGTCCGTAGAAATTATTTGGACGAAGATCTGATTTTTTTCGATTTTTTGGGCATTTGGAAATCTTTAGATTGAGTTCGAACTCTCCGTGGATCGAGCATGGCGCAAAGGCATGAGTGCCATCTTGTAGAGCTTGCTTTGCTCTATCGAACGGTACCCCTTACCCTTTGTTGGGTTGAGTCTGGTTTCTTTGTTAAAGCAAGCAAATAAAAACGCTCATTATTTTTGCATCAACCTAATATATACAGGGTGTCCCCAAAAAAATGTTTCGAACGTTTGATCGTTAATTTCTCTCTTCCCAAGAAGTCTTTTGCCTTGCTTCAGGTACCGTTTTGTAGAGCTGGCTTCAACTTAGATTTGCATTAGAGAACGAATCACCCAACTCTCTTCATTACTGTAGTATTACGGTAGAAACTTGATTCCGAATTTGCTTTCGGCATCTGCGAAGCGCTTTTGTGATGGAAGTTATAAGAGTTTCTGAGGCAAAAATTCAAGATTTTGATTAAGGTAAAAATGTGTGTTGAGGTCTTTTCGGTGCCTGAATGGAGCAACGACTGTCTCAAAATTACTAGAATGAAGATATTGACTGCACAAAGCACCCTGGCAGTAATCATAAGCCTCTTCAAGCTCACTCTACAGTTCTGAAAGATTTCATTGTAGCTGCGTCTCGAAATTTTTGTGTTAAAAATTTTCCATTACTCACCTCCCAGAAGCGCTTTGCGGATAGCGAAAGCAGATTTGGGATCAGCGTTCCATGCTTATAAGACAGTGTACATTTCCTATGGTAACGTCACTTCGACCAAGTATCCTTTCCTTATGAGAAGTGTAGCGATAGCAGTTATCAGCAAGTATCAATGCAAGTATTATTGTGCATATATACTTTTAAGCAGTGGTGTACCCAGGATTTCGGCTCGGCGGGGAAGGGGGGGGGCGACAAAAATTTTTTTCTAATGAAGGCGCGTGGCGTTAGCCGCGCACTCCGAAATTCTTTTTGGTATGCTTTCTAAAATTTTCGCGTGCTCAGAACCCCGAAGGTACGCCACTGCTTTTAAGACACCCCGTATCATTATATGCAGTGACGTGGTTGTAGTCAGCGATTTAAAATTCAATTATTTAAGGTCATCACTATTCCACTGGAGTCTTTTTACAAAGAACTTAATGAAGAGCAACGAGCCAGAGCCGCTGTTGGGGAGTTCGACTTCGACCATCCTTGTCGGTATACAATTGGTATTTGTCCCTCTAGCAATAAAATATGCATTGCGGCAATAGTACCATATATTGAGTTGGCACAAAAGGCTTTGTTCAATCTCAAGCATCGATAATTTTTTGAATTTTGAGCATTCAAAGCTTCAAATACAGGAAATTGGGCAAAAGTTGCGCTTTACAGTATTTATCTCAACACAGGTTCTTCTGGCTAGTCTAGAAGAAACGATCCGAAAATGGCAATTCAAACTTTAGGATCGTGAATTGGGCTTTAAAGTACGGGTTTTGCCGCTAGCGAACCCAAATTTCTTTACATAGAGGTCCACATTATCTATCTCAAGAAAATCTATATGGCTAGCCGTGGAGAAACAATCAAAAAATGGTGGAAGTTCACGTGATTACTAATTTGGTCTCAATTGCCGCTAGCGAGCCCAAATTCCTTGCGCAGAGTTTCATGTTGCCGTGGCAGGTTTTATTCTCGAATGGAAATGCAAGAATAAAAATTACTTGAAAATTTCGCTCTGCAGGTTCGTGATCTCTGCATTTTTAGAAGCAAACCTGGTCTGACGCGCGAGAAAAAATTTACCATGTTCAAGCTAGACAATTTTTTCATTCAAGCTGAATTTTTGTGAGAAAATTCGATGATAAGGAATTTTTCTGCAGATCGGCGTTTTTCACGGGTTTCTTGCATTTCCACACGAGATTAAAGCTTCCGACGGCGACTCTTTTTTATGAATTTTTTGGGTCTAGTTAGCGGCATTATGGTAGTTCGTGGGTAAACTGAAAATTTGAATTATTGAAATGCCGTCTTTGGAATCTTGGTTGTCTGGCACTAGCGGAAGAAAGGTGGCTCGATAGCTATCGTAAAACGCAGCTTTCCTGCTTGCAAGGATGGTGTCAGAAGTCGCAGTGACCTTCCTTTTGACATAAGATAGTTATCATCTGAAGCAGTTTGAAACGCTGACAAGTCATATTGTTTGTTAGTGATGTTGTGCCAAACAGGTTTTTATGGTGGATCTTAATTGCCATAAAAAATCACCATAAAAACCTGTTTGGCACAGTATCACTAACAAACAATACGAAATGCCCAGGTTTAAAGAAGAGAGCACATGGAAGCTGACAAGTCAGCCTTGTTCAGCTGCAGAATGGTTCTGGATCAGGAGTTATTTAACTTAATTTCGGCGAATTTACCACCTGAAAGCTACCAAATACCAAAGCCCTTGTATTGTGGGCTCAAACTTACAAGGGAAGGAATGTTTGTCGAAGTGGCCTTTTAAGGCGATATGTACATTATCTTATAGAGCTTACAACACTGATTTCAAACCTGTTTTCGCTGTCTGCTGCCGGCTTCTGGGCTAGGAGTTATGAAGTTTTTTGTAAGTAAAATGTTAAGTGTAAGATTAGCGTAAAGTGAGTCATAACATTTTTCCAGGGCTCAACTGGTGATCGGGTCACTCGGTGCAATGAACATTTTTGATTCGAATATATCATCTCGCTGCTGCCTCATTTGAGCGTTAGGAAAAGGTTATGACTGAGTTTACTTTGATCTTGCATTCAACTTATTACCCACAAAAACGTTCATAATTCCTCGCCCAGAAGGTCGCAGTAGATAGGAAAGGTAGATTTGGAATCAGCGTTCCAAGCTCTACAAGATAGCAACTTCAACTCAACTGATAGCGCTCAACTGATAATCGGGTCATCGGGTCATTGGAACGAGTTTGTCTTTTCTACTATCGAATTCTACGATTTACTTGTCCCGCTAATTGCATAGGTTTCGATGGCGGCGTGGCGTTATGGAGCAAAGTTACGCCGCATTCGCTTGCGGTATATTCTGGGGGCTCTTTGCGTTGCGTCGCTTCTAATTGCAGCCGCAGGGGAGTTAGCGAAACTTAGCGGACTGAGCCATTTTCCATATTCTCCATAACAAAGAGATTAAAATGTATAAGATAAATGGATTTTTAGGATGTCTTAGAAATAGAATATGAGGAAGAAGTGACTGTAAAGCAGAACACAAGAGGAAGTAAGAGGAAATCAGTTTCTCAAAAGCCAGTGACGGAAAGTTTCTATATCTTTTCTGTACTAATTATCGTGTTACCATCCACCTCTTTTGAACACCTTTAATTGAATCCAGCCTTTCCCCAAGCATTCCTAAAATTCACCAATTTTTTCATCTTTTGGTTTTTTATTGCAGTTATAAAGTGAACATCTCGTAACGTAGCTAGGGAAAATACCTCAATCCGAGTAGGAGCGCACTACTCCTGGAACTGCAATTAGAAGTGCCGCAACGCAAAGGGCCCTCAGGGTATACCGCAGGGGAATGCGGCCTAGCTTTGCTCCATAACGCCTGCCTTCCCGGTTTCGATTGAAGCGCGCTCATCCTCAATAGTACCGACGTCGTTGCTATTCCGGATCCTAGGGGTTCCTTCACACTACGCCGCAGGGCGCGGCGTGCTGCGGCGCATGCGGCAGGATGCGGTAGCACACCACATCACCGCGTCCTGCGGCGTACGCCGCTGAAGTCGCAGTGAAAATATACGCTCACGGCAGCACAGCTTCGCCGGTTAAAGGCACCGTTCACCTACTCAGATAACCACCGGGGGCAGGCGGCCATGTGAATTTTGAGCAAGCGCGCACCGGAAAGATAGTTCGTTGATTTTTTTGCGGCCCGCTTGCAGAAATTTGGAAGAAAGTTGGCGAAATTAAAGACGAATGCTTGAAGAACAATCGCGGTTTCTACATGGATTAGCTGCGGCGCAATGGCCGCATTCTCGCGGACTTTCCGCGAGAATATGCAAAAATTTTGAGGGCCGCACGGTCCTTCGTGAAGGATTGCGCAACCCCCAGGTACTTTCCGCTGAGAAAAAGTACCTCAAACTTGAGTAATTAAACCAACGGTGACACCTCTGCCGCACAGAGTCTTACCTGCGCTCGACGTACGCCCGAAAATGCCTAAAAAGAGTCCGAGCGCTTGCTGAAAGTTTGGGCAGCGCTCGCTGAAAGAAATTATTTGCCGAGCGCTTGCAAAAAATGCTGTATTGCTGCCCGCTGGCAGAATATGGAAGTGCCGCCCGCTGAAGGTTTGGCCACGCCCCAAAATTCTGCTGACCGCCTGCAGAAAAGCGCGAGTTTGCGGACCGCCTGCCCCCGGCGATTATCTGAGTAGATTTTCAACTTCCACGTTTTTGTCGTTTCAGGGCCTTCTCATGTCCCTGATTCCGAATATGAAGTCGAGAATGCGCGAAAACCGCGACAATTTCCGTTCCGGAGACCCCACATGCCGGCTTTCCGGAACGGTGATTGGATGGGCGCGCACAAATGGGCGGGCATGGATGGGGGAGGGTGGGCATGGATGGGGGTCTTTCTGCATCTTCGCTATTCCGAAGCGATTTCCTTGCTTCCGAAGCGGCATTTGTGCCACGAGTTGGGAATTGGATTGATAGGGGGCCCTTTTACTATATGCCGCCAAAAGCTCAACACGCTCAACTTAGGGTGGACGGTGCCTTCAAGGATGTACATCTATATTTGCTGCACGTTCGTGTTCTCCGAGAAGTTCCTTCACAGCGAGCTAGCTTATATTTTCACTGCGACTGCAGCAGCGCACCCGCAGCACGCGGCGTGCTGCTGCGCGGCCGCGTGCGAGGGAACCCCAACAAGGAGGAGAAGTAGAGTGTTGGAACTAAAATATTACTGTATACTGAACTTCAGGTGTAGAACAGATTTACGTAGAAATTTTGGAAAACATATGTGAAATGGAAGTTTTGCCTAGCTCAGGTAGGCATTAGGTGGACAATTGCCCACTTAACTTTGAAAAAAGCCAAGCACAGTTTTTGTTCGCATTACTTTTTTTTGTTTTTTCACTTTGCCTCGTCCATCTGCGCGTCTACAGAATTTCGTTAGTTTATCTGTGCATTGCAAACGAGCCATCTTACTTTTGCGGTGGGAAATTTCCAGAAAAAAGCTTGCCACAACTTTCAGTCTCATAATTTTTCTACAATCTGCACTCACCGTTATGTTTGCGCTGTAATCAAGACATTTAATCACAACTTCATGAAAAAAAATTGGATTTTGAAGATCGCTAGCATCATCTGTTTCTACACATTAGTGGTGTAGCAACTTGTCGAGAGTGTTATGTAAATGTGAACGTATATTTACGATATACCTTCTGCTTCATCCAAAACGATTTCTAGCTTGACATCTGCCCAGCTTGTGCTGAGTCCTGTTTTTTGTGAGCCCATAATGGAATAATTCTTTTACGAGGCTTATTTGAATTTTAAGAAATTTTTGCAAAATCATTCTGTTTAGTCAAAAATTTCGCGACCCATTCTTGGGGGATGCCCCCTCCTCTCCCCTCCCGGTCCATCACTGCTAGCATAGATATAATATTATAATTGCTACCTAAATTTGCTGTTAACTACTGAACGGCTACCCGCTGTCCTTTCTTCTTTATGACAATTGGGTCATCAGTATTATTACTGCACTAGCTGACTTACCCGGCTCCGCCGTATGCTCCGAATAGAAAATTTCCATTTCTTAACCGATCCGGACCAAACTTGGCACACATACACTTCGGGCCCCGGCGGGTGTCACAGTCCATTTTTCGTTATCGATCGATGTCGATTTTATCGATTTTTTGCAAAGTTTGAGCTAGGGGGCTGGAATTTGGCAGAGGGGTGTAGTCGAGCATGCTGATCACCCTCACGGGGGTGATCAGCATGCTTGATTACCCCCCTGTGCCAAATCCCAGCCCTGTAGCTCCAATTTTCCAAAAAATCGATAAAATCGATATCGATCGATGACGAAAAGTAGCCTATGACACTTGCCGGGCCCAAAGTGTATGTGTGCCAAGTTTGGTCCCGATCGGTTCGGAAATGGAATTTTCTATTCGGAATTACGTACATACATACATACAGACAGACATACAGACATACAAACAGACATTCAGCTTTATATATAAGATAGAAGTTACTTCAAAACTTTTCTCTTATAAATGAAAAGTGACGTGCATATGTACCTATTCAACGGGAGGCAGCTGGAAGGCCTGGCTTCGAGGCCTAATTGAGGCTAGGGAGTGATCAGGGAGCACGTTAGCGTAAGAGAGGCAGACTGCGTCACGGTTGAGAGCGGTTGCTTTCCAGCCGACTACCCCGTTGAACCAAATGCCATCGTATGCACAATAATGTTGAACTGGAGAGGCTTGGGGCTTGCATACGTTTGTGCGCACGCAATCGTCAGGGTGTCAACTATTTCCTACATCAATCCGAGCAGATCTACTAGGTGCCTGTGTTAGGTGCACGGCGAGTTCTGGACGTAGCTCCTGTCATAGAAAGCTCGAAGACTTTGAGATTGCGGCATGCGATTTTGCGTATTACTTTTTGTAGAGACCTTGCTAACATACAGGTTAAAAGCAATAAGTCATCTATATAATACCGCCTTTTGATGCTCTTTTTGATGTAGTTCACGGTACACTCTTTTGAGTGCCTGAGAACTACCATGCCATCTGTCACCTTTTTTTCGTCATCAATACTTAGTAAAGGATACCTCGGCGGGCAGATGGCGCGGGTCTGCCATTTTCGCGCTCTGGAGCGCTCCGGAGCCCTGCCATTTCACCCATTTTGGTGCTCCGGAGCTCTCCCAAATCCGGCACATTTCCGGAGCAGAGATTTGCGCGCCTCGGAGAGGGGTCCCATTCGTTCACCATGACTCACGGTGACGTCACAAGCAGGGCTCCGGAGCGCTCAGCGTCAGCGCAAATCTCTGCTCCGGAGGTGCGCCAGATTTGGGAGAGCCTCGGAGCACCAAAATGGGTGAAATGGCGGCTCCGGAGCGCTCCAGAGCGTGAAGTGGCAGACCCGCGCCATTTGCCCGCCGGAGGTATACCTTCGACTGTCTGAGCATTTGTTTGAGAGACCGTGAGCTAGGCCATTAAGGTTGTGAATGTGAACGGTTTCAGCCGCTTTCGACTTCGACAAGTTGACTGAGACGATATCCCAACTAGAAGAAGGGGAAGCTGTCACAATTCCGAAGTACGATTTCTTGACCAGCACCAGGCAAGTCTCTTTATGCCAAGTCTCCAATGCATAATCGTATATTATCTCATGATTCGACAAGTACCCTTTGATTCAACTGACTTGGCGGCTGGAAGACGGGGCTTTGTGACCTAATTAAGGTTAGAATGACCAGAGAGCACACGCGCGATAGAGAGCAGACTGCGTTGCGGGCGCGAGCGGCCTTAATTAGGTCACAAAGCCCCATCTTGCAGCCGCCAAGCCTGTTGAATCAGAGGTTATATGTAACCATCGTGGAGTGGTCGGCACGACGTTACTTCTATAGTGATCCGCACTGCGCGGCGTAAGGCGCTTAGGCATTTCGAGAAGTCTTGATTGCGGAAAATTCGCGAGATGGAGAAGCAATGTCCAAGCGCGAAAGAAAGCTGGCTATAGTACTGAATTTCTTTCTCAGTTTTCTTTTGCCTTCTCTTCTCTTCTGTACTCTCGTCCTTGGCCCAAGCTATATTATTGCACAAGTAAAGGCAGAGTTTCAAAAGACAAATACTTGGGAATTCGCTCCGTGCGAGCGACCCTCCTTTAGGCGCTATCGTACAAATGGGCAACACAAGTCAGGAGCTTCCGTGCGCCAATAAGTGAAAGTGCCATCCAACTTGTAGGCAATTTCACCGCGCGATCGTCCGACAATGGATCTGCTCCGAGCGGCCAGTTATCCTCCGCTTTGAACCACTCGCATGCAAGCGGCCGATACTATGACTTGTTATCCTCGCAATAATCACACGCTGTGAGGGCAAATGATACCTATGCGACAGTGGCGTACCCAGGATTTCGGCTCGGGGGGGGGGGCCCCCGAAAATTTTTTATAAGGCTAATTTGAATTTTTAAAAAATTTTAAAAATTATTTTAATTGTTTACAAAAATAAACAAGTCATTTGCACATTTTTATAACTCATGTAAGTAACTTTCAAAAATTTCGCGACCCGTTCTCGCCCCCCCTCGGTACGCCACTGCTATGCGATAACGTAGTGGCCAGGTCTCCTTAGTGCTGGTATTCCGAACTAACATCGATCTTCGGATCTCGGCTTAGAAGGTTCAAATGGGTCCTTTCAAGGCTAATCAAACTGATTTTAGAAGTTGTTAGTTTGCTCTATTGAGGTTGTATTAGGCTGTAAGAAAAGTTCCCGGGCACTTTTGAAATTTCATTTTCAAAAGCGTTTTTTCGGCGCTCGGTCGGACTTTGAACCAAGTTTTTTATACTGTTCAGTAGAGGGAAGCCTGGAGTTATCAACAGATCTTCTGACTGTTCTTGATGCCAAGACCTGTTTGACCTGCACATCAATAAATAAATCTTTCTAACCATAAAAATTTCGCAGTTTTTCTTCCTGCGCCCTTTTTCTGTGCAGTTCAAAGAATTCCGTCCAAGTCATGAGTGATCTAATTGAGAAGCCTGTTAGCTTCTGACCCGCAGCTGCAGTATTGCGACTTGTGCTCAGAAATTACAAGCTGTGGAACTTGCCTCTGACTGCAACTCTTTTCGCAGCTGGCGTCGCTTCTGCCGAGATCTCCACAAATGGATGATGGGTCCAAAAGATGTGTAAGATATTACCCCAACAATGTTCGCAGTAATCAAATATTTGGTCCGCCCTATGCAGAAAGAGAAGACCTCAAAGTAACTTACGCGAAAATGGTGCATTTTTTGGGGCAAAAAATGGTCGATTTTTCGAACTTTCTAAAAAATTTTTTTGCAGCTGGTCTTGCAAAACTTGAATGGTCCCTATAACAGGCCCAGCAGACTTCTATATAACTACAGCATTTGAGCTCTCCACCTTTCATCGTGCGTGCGATAATCCTCCACAAAAAGGCCACTTTTTGCGACGACCTTTTTCCCTTCTGCGCATGCTGGTGGACCGCAGTGAGGTGCTGAAAAGCCAGCAAGACAAGTATATGTTGTGGACAAAATTGTCTTCGCAATGAAGTTTGTAGCTTCAAAAAAGAATCAATCTGCTTGAAGTTACAGCGATTTGAAGAAAAATTTCGCAAGTGCCCGGGAACTTTCTTTACAACCTAGTACTAACGTTTTAATAGAGGGACAATCCGTGTGCCCGAGGGTGTGGATTTTTACGTGGACATAATGGAAAATGATAAGGGTATCCCACACAACATTAGCCCACGGCAGAACCATGCGAGCAGCCGAACATCCTCGGGCAAGCTGCAGGCAATCGTAACCGTTCATGCGCCCTATCTAATCCGTACGATCGACCTTTGACGACCGTACAAGCGATTGTAAGGTCCTCCCCGCATGCCGCGAACGTTAAAGTATTTGGCAGCTTGGAATGATGACTCAAATGTGTCCTTTTTAACTGCGGCGCATCATTATGAAGCGACTATCAATTTTTTGTGCAGAATTGGCATGCTCATCAATATTCAGGCGTTGCGACAAATCAGTTAAATGCTAATATTTGCAAGTCCCTTGTCAATGACAAAAGTCTTGATCTATAGGCTATATCACCAGCATCGGTCGTGACGGTCGGTCCTCGAGATGATGCTACGCGCATCGCACAAGAGAAGCGTACTCGATCACGAAAAGTGAGAGCAGAAAATGAAAAGTTATCGGAAAAACATTGTACTTAACGAACTCTCCGTATTCGCATTATACTCCGCGCCGCGAGTAATTCCGCATTACCACAACAGCAACATTAACGGCATCATTTTATCATCAAACTCTGATTCCGACAAGAATACATACTTTCCACTTCTACCTGTGAGATCGTCAGCAAAGCATACCGCTCTGAGAAGAGGGAATTCTTGTTCAGATAATGAAGGAACAGCGATGCACAGATCGTGGAAAAACTCAGACTCCAAACCACAACACCAAGAAGTTCGAGACTGGATGCAAAGCATGAGTCAGCCTTTCGAGGCTTTTATACGGGAATGGAGAAAGGATTCAAAACCATCCAGAGAGGAAATCAAGAGGCAACATGAAAAGGCAGGTGGTGTAAACTTGTAAGGTAGCATCAAGCGTTGAGAACGTCTATGCAGCCAGAGGAGGAAGCGAAAGGAGGACATGTTAAGTATCGCAGACACCGGAGAATATCGCATACGACTTTTTAAAGAAGGTCAAACACAGAAACCAGCTTGCAAAAGGAGACAGCATTAAATGGCAAGGAAACGTCGCATAGGGACCCAAAGGAACACAGAAGGGAAAAGAACGCAAACGCAGTATAGTGAGTGGACAAAGAAGACAGGGGCAAAGAGGAGGATAACCAAAAGAGGCTCAAAGCGAAACGACCAGTTAGTCGGGCTGGACAGGCTGGAGCATACGAATTACATTCGTATCAATCTACGAGCCTCCAGGAACATGAAGCAAAACACAGCAAAGTAGTAGGCAAGAGCTTTAGGCACGGATAGGAAATTAAGTGGACACATAAAGGTCTCAAGAACTCGGAGTCCCAAGAACAGCGCAGTGAATAAAACGAAGAGATCTTCGGCAAGGAAAGCTGAAACCCGACTCAATACCAGTGGCAAGGCACTCAACGGTTTTGTTGAGTGAGCAAATCGCAACATGGTATATAGCACAGAATGTTAGGGAGTAGCACGGCGAGGAAGAAGGTGGAGACATATTACCCCTTGCGCATGGCAGGGTGCTCACGAAAGGAGTACGCGCTGCATCAGGATACCGCTTTACGACACGCTCGGAGTGCTCGCCATGGCTTTCGATGGATTCAGGAGGACGCTCACAGATACGGAAACGATGTCAATCTCTCGAAGGCGCTCACGAAAGCAGCACATAATCCGGTACGGCGAAATAGGATCGAAAAAGCCAAACGAAGGCAATTTTGTACTGCTCTGGGATGCAACGACATAAATCAACCCACAGGTTGAAAACAGTCCAGATAGACCATTCACCACAGAAAACCACAAGGGAAGTTGTTAGGGAGATTCTAATGGATCCGGACTGCGACGACGGTCACCTCAAACTGCGCCACTGGATCAACAATGGAGGAGCTTTCACAGCTCACAAGCAAGAAGACAAAGCAGCTCGATATAATGTCGACCAAAGAACTGGTTGAAACCAAGCTAGGAAGCAACACGAGAAGGAGACTACGATAGCTACGTTGTCTACTGCTCCACCATTAACGGGAACGTTCCACTCGTCTTCTGATACAGTTCAGGGGTATCGCGCTTTACATGTTTTTCTCAGTATCGTGCTTTACATGTTTTTCTCATTCTTCATTGTTTATTACTTGCTTTTGTACTCTGCGTTGTAGCTTATAGTCGTTCCACAGTTGCTTTCATAGATCCACAGATCACAGTTTCTCGAATTTCATCTCATTCCGTATCTCTCATGTGCTAGCATTGGTCGTATTGTTGATTGGTGTTTTATAATAAAGTTTAATCACCCAAGTTTGAGGTATCGCAGCCAACTGTGCAACCAAACCAATTTCCGCAAAAGCCCGCGTGGCAGCATATCGCAGAGCTGAAGCCTACAATATTCTAGCAGAAACAGACCGTAGACATCAAGCGGTCCCACTTTTAAATTTCTACTTGGAGTACTTTTTGCTTTTTGTTTTTGCAAACTTCTCAAGGTTTTGGGATAATTTTCAGACGCGATCTTCGAGAATTTTCCTCAAAGCCCTAAGGTCCATAAATTGTTCGGGCCTGTAAGAATATATCAATTCAAAATTCTTGTAAGTTTCATCAGGATTCGCCTGCATAAGAAAACAGAAAAACTTTTGAAATTCGTTCACTCGTAAATATTTACGCGGTAACTTAGGCAATGCTTCGACGACCGTAAAAACGTTTAGCATCAATAGGCGCAGTGCGAAAACTCAAATTGTGCACTTCTAGGAAAGGAACATTACACCTGGAGCCCGCTGATGTTATTATCGTAGAGGGTATTCTTATCTTCTACGACGTCCGCTTGAGAAATAAGTTTGCTATGAAGCTTTTTGTCGACGCTGATGCGGATATACGTCTGGCTCGACGAGGTATGAACGTTTTCCATGAAACTTTCATTACTAATTACCCAAAGTGCGTGTTATCATGCTCTCAGTAAGCTTGAATGGAATATTTGATTTGCAATATTGATGGGGTCAAACCTTTTTCTAGCGTGTCTGCACTGTTTGCTCAAGCAGTCGCCGTAAACATTCACCGAATCCCAAAAACTTAGCATTGGGGACAGTAAGGAACAGCTAACAAATGGCTCTTGGATTTTTATCTTTTAGTAGCGCTGCAAGTAAACTTTTGCAGTTATTGGCTTTGATGATTAACTGTATGCAGTACTCTGCGTTGATACCACTGCTT